AGTTCCCAAAACAATAATTTGCCTGCAAAAATTTTCACGAGGGCCGTAAGTAATGTCCGAGAGCGTTCATAACTGAATCCTCCATGCGCGATTTGGTCTAGGCGATCGGGAATGCATTCAAAATTGAAATGCTCTGTGCGTCTGAGGCGCTCAGTTCTGCATTAGGTTTTTTATTTCCCCTCTGCCTGGTCCTCCACAAATCATTTCCTTAATTAACCATTCTTTGCAATTGCTTAATTCTTATTTCTTTAGCTGCGTTCCCCTTCAGTCGCCTCCCAAATATTGTTACTTATAAGAAGTGGAGAATAGTGACCTGAGGCTCGACCACAATATCAATGTCACTTCCGATTTCGTGAACTTCATTGAGTTTATCATCGAAAACAACATGCTCATTCGGTTTCGGTGACTCGGTTTTCTCATGCTCCAGCTCGTGCCTCTGAAGATCTTTTACAAAAACAATGCGTATGCTCAATTCATTGTTTTTAAAAGGCATCACCAGCTGGCATACTCTGGCGCTAGTGCTCTCTCGTGCTGAACGCTGAGGGTTCATTTCTGCCACTGAGACAACAAATCACTCTACGATTTTTTCAACCAATCCCTTTTCGTCTCGTTAGCAAACTGCTACTAGCATGTGCCAGGCAATTGAAACTGCTATCAGACTGCTTCTAAGCAATCGCTGCAAGAAGCAGCTACAGATAGCCTTGGGCTAGTTCCGACTTATAGAGAGTAAGACATGGAGCGGTTCCGACATTTGACATTCACAAAAATTGCACTGACTGTCGGTGCTACTGTAATGTAATTTCGCAGCATAATTTTAAGGGTTTCCAGGAAATTACATTCGGACGCAACAAAGACAATGAAATTAGCGAAATCCCTTGATCGCAATCCCTTGATCATAGATGTTTCACTGTAAAAAACAAAATAAAATCAGTGAAGTGAATTTCCTGAGAGTCTGAAGTGAATGTTTTTTAAAGCGCGACACTTACCAAATCCGGAGATGCCGACTCGTTAATCATCAGTGGTCCTTTATAAACGAACTGCGAGGCTGGGATGTGATCAGCACTCAATGAGGCGCCACCGCCACCGCCGCCGCCGCCAGCACCACCGACGCCAGCGCTGCTACCACTCATCCCCTCCGGTTTGAACGACACTGAATCTGCAAATGCATATCCACGATTACCTTGAGGCAGGGCAAAATTTTAAAATCCCGCATTCCCTCCAATCCAACTTTAAGTCCTTCTGTACTTTTTTCCATTAAGCTCCAGCATATTTAGATTCTTTGTTGCCGTCGAAAACAAAAAAAAAGTGAACACGTTTATAGATGTATCTTGAAAAGGTTATCTCCTTCAGTTTGTCTTCCTCTGAAGCTGCCGCCCGTGGTAAGATCATGGCCTGCCCTCCCCCTCCAACCCACATATATCGCACTAATTATAAATGATTCCCACCGAAACAAAAAAAGAGGAGCTAAGAGACCAAGAAGACGCCCTTCCCCAGAACTAAGAATCACGGCCAAAGAGATTTCAGTTCGACCGTCTAAAAGTGTATGGGAAGGGAATGCGCACAGCGGAAAAAACAAAGCCCGCGAGCAGCACAGTGAGGCTAGGGAACTTTTGGCAGAAATCATTAACTCCGGAACCAAGCAAGATAGAGTGTACCACAAGGAAGATATGGGTTTATCACTGAGTGTCACTCAGTAGCTTGCCGACCCGCGAATCCTCATCACTACATTTCTAAACTTTCAGCTAAGCAGTACGGGGCCTATTTTATCGCTACACCGAAGCGGTAACATTTAAAGCGATGTTGATACTCAACACAAATCAAGAGCATCTCAAGAAACAACTAAAGCCTCGTTAAAGTCAATTGATCTGGTGATCCATTGAGAGATGAAACGAACGTCAGGATTGCCAATAGGCAAGTCAGAGCAATCCGGAGAGGTCATCGAGCTGGAGAATGACACTGTAAATTTTAGCTGAATCACGTATCTCAAATAGAAGTATGATTCCAAACTTCAGCTGGGGAAAAAATGACCGGTTAAGTCGGTGCTACTTTTTTTATGCCGTCTCCTGTTTCTCTTCTTCCGGCACAAGGCAAACATTCCGATCACGACGATCACTATGAGCAACAATATTCCCAATCCAATAGCGATCCCCATTATGCCGCCTCTGCGCAACCACTTCCAACTGCTAACGACCAATTTATGCGCTTTCCTAAAATACCAGTTTATTTTGGTACAATAACGAAAGACAGCTGCCTTCGTTGCAGTGTTTCAAAATTTCGCAGGTTTCCAGAACAGTTTGACAAGAGAAAAAGTGGCATCGGAGCGGACGTCAGTACCGTCCGCAATAATAACAGGTGATGAAGCGATTAGCAGCAGCTGCCAGGCGTACAACTGGAGAAGCAAACCATTGGCCAAAAGTGATTAAAATATCAAACTGAGTGACTGGGTGGGTAACTATATATTGAGAGGGGTAATTTATTGGCCTAAAGTAGCTTAGTTAGTGCCATTCCATGAGCAGATATATTCTGTATTTGCTTGGGCCACGTATGTATGCATATATGATTAAAGTATCAAAATAAGCAAGCAAAATATGCAACTAACAAGCAAATGTCTGTTTTATTAGACATTCCCTTTTCCTCGGCTTTTCAATGATTTCGTTCACTCAGACTTGAGCCTCCTACTTGCTCACTTTTACAGCCAGTTCACTGCTTTTCGCGTAAGGCCAAAAAAGCTCGATGAGTTTGGGAGGCGCCGCGCGAAACGCATTTTGCGTGTTTCAATATAATTCAAAAAACAGAACTCAGGTACGCTATCGCTCCTTGAAGCAGGAGTTGTCACATCTACTGGCACTGGCGCCACTGCCTGCTGATCGGTTACAAGAGTAGTCTCTAAAATGAACAATTCTATATCTTAAGCTTCATCTTTCTGTGGCTTTGTCAGAAAGCTGAATGTACATGCTCCAATGAGTTTCACTGCGCTTTTTTGAGTACAACTAAGCATTACTCAACAATTCCACACATTCCCACTCCCTTCAGCTTCATGTATTTGAGTAGGTATTTATCAAAAAGTTTTGCGCTCTTACGATAAGCTGCTGTATGCATACGGTAAAATAATGCAAAAAAAACTCGGCGGTTTCATTTCGTAATGCAAGAATAATGTAAAATAATGCAAGAAAGGTTTTTTTATCCATTCGAGCTGCTTCAAGGATGGACTGCATGTCGTGCTGCATGGTACAACTATTTGTCATAATTCTGACCATTGGGACAAATTTTCAATGTCTTAACATTTCCTGGAATTATTGGGCAAGTGGACCATATGGTGCCCTGTGACCTGATTAAAAAGCCCACAGAGAGACACACAAATGGTGATATCTTTATTCAGGAAAGAGTTGTGAAAATTTTTACCTCCAGTTGATTGAGTTGTTGTTTCTTCTGTCCTAAAATTAAAAGAATATTACAAAAAAATCAGTCCTTTTGCGTAAAAGATGAAAATTAGTTAAGAACGTCGAGTCAGTTTTGTGCTTCAAATAGCGACTATTGCCTCTAAAGTGACCCGAGCACCTAAGAAAGAAATTTTAACAATTATACGAGTTTTTGAAGGTTCCACCCCGCCGATGGGACAACCAACTCTACCATTCATTCATTTCGATGGTAAAATAACAGAGGCGAATGCCAGGGA